TTATGCCAGTTAAACATTATTATTACATATTTAAGTCACTTTTAATTACTTATGAATAGTCAGAGGTGTATGAACAAGTCAAAACTCCCATTTGCATGAATTCATTTTAAGTATGAATGTCAAACCCACAGATTCTCCAAGACACACTAATGAACCCAATGTGAGCAAAGGAAGCGGACAATCCATTATTTTGCTGAAAAAATGACATTGACAATATATAAAGTAATAGCGGCAGCGGAGCTAATATCACACAGCCAGCGTAAAGATTTCTCTCTAAAACCAGTCTGGGCCTCAGCTTCCAGGTCTGTGTGTGTGTGTGTGTGTGTGTGTGTTTGTGTGTGAGAGAAAGTCAATTGGAAGAAATTTTAATTTTCCTCACATCCCGTCACCCGCCTCTTGACCTCCTCGATGGTCTCACAGCGTTGCGTGACCAGCAAGCTGCAAGCACATCAGGCGTTGGTGTTTAATGCCAGGCACATCTCAGAAACAAGAGGGAGCATCGGTTAAATGCCATTGCCCAGTGATTGTGGCTGCAATTACATGGTGGAGATATCTGCAATTTATTCCTGTCATCTCCAAATGTTAAATCATGCAAATGCTGGGCACAGACCTCGAGCTGAACAAGAAGAGAAGTGTCCTTCATATGTGTGTGGAGCTTAAGGCTAATTGCAGCATCTCTGATTCTCATTCTGTTTGCTTGACCCAGAACAACAGGGAACACAGGGCTGAAATTAAAGCCCCGGTGCTGAGATTCTCTTAGCATTGATTGATTTCCAACAAGAGGATTCAGAATACCCTTTCAAAATAGTACTACCATCACCTGCAAAAACATTTACTGCAAGAAACCGGCAGCTGTTGCCAGAAATTGAAAGAAAACAGTGACGTCCAATTAACTGTTAAACTGACTGATATAATGTTAGTAAATTAACCTACCTGAACTACTTAAATCAATAGACAGAGCATAAGATACAAGGCACAATGGTTTACCAACTGATGCAATAAGTGTACCATATGAAGAAAACAACTGACAGTAGAACAACAGCTCAAAAAGCACACCTGTTCCTTGAGCATTATTAGTTGAATTCCCTGTTTTGACCAAGGCCAGACCAACAGAGAACTGCAAGTATACAACGACAGGATTGTTAGCTGTGAGGCTTTGGGAGTTTCTTCTCCTGAAACACTGACCAGGTCTCATGTCCTTCACCTGCACATTTTAGATCTTTAAAATAGACATACTGTTCAAACAAAGAAGAGCTTCAGGACTAAAATGGGTGCATTTGAGCTTATTCTTCCACAGATGTGTAGGGACTCATACGTGCTGCGTTAGGATCTCAGAGCTTTCGCTGTGTAAATGCTGAATCGGGTAGTTACACAACTCTAAATCTCGAAGGACGCTGAGTCTACTTTTATTGCAAAGGACACATTTCAAGCATTAAGAGTTCTGCAAGGGGGCTTTCTGGCTCAAAGGGAAGAACATTTTCCCTCTGGATTTGATTTAATTTTGTATTTGAGGTTGGGATTTAATTCAAAGGCCTGTAAGGTTCACTGACCCACTAACTTTGAAGCTCCCTCACTAAAGAAGTTCTTAGATAAAAGTGTCAGCTCAGGAGAGCCTGTAATGTAAGGTGGCATGAGAATAAACTCAAACAGATGTGTATGTAAATGTTGTTATTATTATCTAAAACTGAAACTGTAAATAAATGTTTTTGTTAATTGAAATAAAGATGACAAAATTAAAATATTAGACAAACTTAAAAAACCTTGGTAACTTAAATAAAATAAGTTAAAAGAAGCACTACAATAAGTAAAACTGTGGATGGGTGGGTGGATGGATGGATGGGTGGATGGATGGATGGATGGGTGGGTGGGTGGATGGATGGATGGGTGGATGGGTGGATGGATGGATGGATGGGTGGGTGGATGGATGGGTGGATGGATGGATGGGTAGGTGGATGGATGGGTTCGGATGGGTGGGTGGTTGGGTGGATGGATGGGTAGATGGATGGATGGATGGATGGGTGGGTGGGTGGGTGGATGGATGGATGGGTGGGTGGGTGGATGGATGGGTGGATGGATAGATGGATGGATGGATGGATGGGTGGGTGGATGGATGGGTTCGGATGGGTGGGTGGTTGGGTGGTTGGGTGGATGGGTTCGGATAGATGGATGGATGGGTGGATGGATGGATGGATGGATGGATGGGTGGATGGATGGATTGATGGGTGGTTGGATGGGTGGGTGGTTGGATGGGTGGGTGGTTGGATGGGTGGGTGGTTGGGTGGATGGATGGGTGGGTGGGTGGATGGATGGGTGGGTGGGTGGGTGGGTGGTTGGGTGGATGGATGGATGGATGGGTGGTTGGGTGGATGGATGGGTGGTTGGTTGGGTGGGTGGATGGATGGATGGATGGATGGATGGATGGGTGGGTGGTTGGGTGGATGGATGGATGGATGGATGGGTGGTTGGGTGGATGGATGGGTGGTTGGGTGGATGGATGGATGGATGGATGGATGGATGGGTGGGTGGTTGGGTGGATGGATGGATGGATGGATGGGTGGATGGGTGGATGGGTGGGTGGGTGGGTGGATGGATGGATGGGTGGGTGGATGGATGGGTGGGTGGGTGGATGGATGGTGGATGAATGCTTACTATTTAACCCTTATGTTAATGAGTATAACAACCTGGAGTTCCCTGCAGGATTGCAGTGGTAATGTGAGGCTGTATTATCTAGAGGATACAGGACTGTGCAACAGCAACACACTCAGTAACATGGAGCAGACCTGATGTGGGGAATCTGATCAGATCTGCACATCGGATAACACAGTAGTGTCTCGTCTTCCTGCACTGCAAACCCTTCCAGCACCAGAGATCAGTGATTAAATGGCTATTTGTGTTGCACTCTGTTAACATGTGTCTCTCCCTGCAGTGTATGTGTTTGTGTGTGTGTGTGTGTGTGTGTGTGGTGGAAACAGGCTCGTCAGCGTGTTTTTCCAGAAATTGTTTGCTGTGGTTGAGATGCACACTCTCAGGTTTGTGTGAATATGTGTGTCGGATAAACTATATGCAGTTAAAATTTATATGCATTAATTGAGTGATCTGTTTACAGTGTTCATAAATCAATCCTTCTCAGCACAAACAAACCAGATGAAACTTATTTCTAAAAATATTTCCACATTTGACAGACAGATGGACGGATGAATGAATGATAGATAGATAGATTACTTTAATTTCTGTGGTTTGCTCAGCAATCAATCCAACTTGCTGGCTCGGTCAATGCTGAAATGTCACTCAAAATCTCTTTCCAGTCCACACATTATTTGGCTGAATGTGTATAGGATGTGCCAGTCCTCCCTTCTAACCACCAGAGACTTGACAGTGATGAGAAGCATTTAATAATAGGGAAATTAAGTGTCTATATCAAGCTTCAGCACTTTTGATCAAATCACAAACACTGAATCTCAATCATTATGAATCTGTATGCTGTTTTTTGGGGGGGGGCTTAACTCCTTAATACAGTGAAACTTGCATGTTGCCATTGTCTAGCAGTTAGCATTTCCTCTCTAGAGTCTGTTAATAAAAAAATTACACTACAGGTCAAAAGTTTAGAATAATTAATTTAAAATATATATATATATTTTTTTTAAAGATGTCTCTTCGCAAAGTATAATAAACATTTGCAATATAAAAATAAAATAAAGAAAGAATAAAAGTTGATAACATTCATTCAGTGTATATATATATATATACACTCACCGGCCACTTTATTAGGTACCCCATGCTAGTAACGGGTTGGACCCCCTTTTGCCTTCAGAACTGCCTCAATTCTTCGTGGCATAGATTCAACAAGGTGCTGGAAGCATTCCTCAGGGAGTTTGGTCTATATTGACATGATGGCATCACACAGTTGCCGCAGATTTGTCGGCTGCACATCCATGATGCGAATCTCCCGTTCCACCACATCCCAAAGATGCTCTATTGGGTTGAGATCTGGTGACTGTGGAGGCCATTTTAGTACAGTGAACTCATTGTCATGTTCAAGAAACCAATTTGAAATGATTAGAGCTTTGTGACATGGTGGAAGTAGCCATCAGAGGATGGGTACATGGTGGCCATAAAGGGATGGACATGGTCAGAAACAATGCTCAGGTAGGCGTGGCATTTAAACGATGCCCAATTGGCACTAAGGGGCCTAAAGTGTGCCAGGAAAACATCCCCCACACCATTACACCACCACCACCAGCCTGCACAGTGGTAACAAGGCATGATGGTTCCATGTTCTCATTCTGTTTACGCCAAATTCTGACTCTAACATCTGAATGTCTCAACAGAAATCGAGACTCATCAGACCAGGCAACATTTTTCCAGTCTTCAACTGTTCAATTTTGGTGAGCTCTTGCAAATTGTAGCCTCTTTTTCCTATTTGTAGTGGAGATGAGTGGTACCCGGTGGAGTCTTCTGCTGTTGTAGCCCATCCGCCTCAAGGTTGTGCGTGTTGTGGCTTCACAAATGCTTTGCTGCATACCTCGGTTGTAACGAGTGGTTATTTCAGTCACTGTTGCCCTTCTATCAGCTCGAACCAGTCTGGCCATTCTCCTCTGACCTCTGGCATCAACAAGGCATTTCCGCCCACAGAACTGCCGCTCACTGGATGTTTTTTCTTTTTCGGACCATTCTCTGTAAACCCTAGAGATGGTTGTGCGTGAAAATCCCAGTAGATTAGCAGTTTCTGAAATACTCAGACCAGCCCTTCTGGCACCAACAATCATGCCACGTTCAAAGTCACTCAAATCACCTTTCTTCCCCATACTGATGCTCGGTTTGAACTGCAGGAGATTGTCTTGACCATGTCTACATGCCTAAATGCACTGAGTTGCCGCCATGTGATTGGCTGCTTAGAAATTAAGTGTTAACGAGCAGTTGGACAGGTGTACTTAATAAAGTGGCCGGTGAGTGTATATATCCAGTCTTGATTTCCTCCCAAAATAAAGCAGAATTTGTACCTGCATGGCCTCAGTTGGAAAGGGTCACTGTATCATCTCCAGGAATGACTCTAATGCTGCAGTCTTGACTTGAGTTTGCAGGACAGGTGTACGACAGGTGATGAGTGACAGCACTTTAATTGGGCCAAGCACAGCCTCTTCCTCACCTCCACACAATTCTACTCCACCATTCCAATTAATATCCACGTCTATCAGTCACAATTCAGACAGGAGATGAGAACGGAAGAGGAAAATATAGCAAATTATTACAGACCAATCAGTTTTAGGGATTGAAAAATTCAGTCCCTGCCAGAAATCAGTCCCCGATGATCATGTATTCATTATGGAAGATGTCCCAAAGCTTATGAGCTCCATTAATATTTTAGCTAGTCTGCCGCACAAGAGCGTAGGCAAGAGAGAACGAGATTTATCAACTGTCATAAACTGATCTGAAGCGCAACCCCCACTCTGCAAAACAGTGTAACTTTTTGATTAATTAAACTCCTGTGGATTACGAGACAGACTATGCTGCCTACCGAAGTGTGGGGTTTAATGTCCTCCGCAGCTTTGCAGATAATTGCATTCTCAGGCAATAAGTCTTTGTTAATATGTTGGGAAACATGGAACAAAACACTGGGAGAATAGGATACGGGTCCACTTTTGCAGGAGAGCAGCAGTTCACGAACGACTGCAGACCCGAGGGCTTTCCCTATTGAATTCACCGTACTGATCGAACGTTTAAAACCAGGGCCTCAATACCACATGAAAACTAAAGCTCCTCCTGAGACCCCATCGTGCTGAATGAATTTCAAACAGACATAACTACGCCTCCTGCTTTATTACGGAACAATTTGGAGGCCTTTTAGCGTCGACGGCAGTAAATGAAGTTTTTTTTCCCCTGCTCTGTGCAATCAAGCCTGCTGTCATTTCTCCTTTATATTTTTCATCATCTTCTTCTAATGAGGCATCGGGGGAGGATTATCTTGTGTCTCTGTCTATCCGCCTCATTGGTCGACTGCACTCCGGCTGACCAGAGGTCACACTCAGATGCTTCATTCTGGTGTAAGGAAGAGCACGTTGTGACAAGCAATAGGGGAAACAGGAGACCGCAGAGACTGCTGATGGACAGTTCAGGCTCCAGGGGAAGTCCCTCATGTGTAATGAACCTACAATGGCACAATAACAGTTGGCAGATTAAATGACTGTGTATCATGGGAGGAAAAGGACAGCTTAAACGAAAGCAACACCTTGAGAGTATTATCATGAAATATTGTCATGCAGGGGGGCACAGCCCGCACTGTAAAAAAAAATTGTATGTAGAAGTTTTCTATCTTATTTGTGGGCTTCTTGACTTCTGTTTTCCAATTAAAAGGAACAAACAGACAGGATGGGATGTTTCTTTTATATAGCCCCTGGTCCTAAAATAATTAACTTAATAATAATAATAACTATTATTATTATTATTATTATTTTGGTTTGCATACTATTCTGCAGTTTCTGGAACACATAATGAAGCCAGTCAAGCCAAAAAGCATAGCATTATACAGTTAATGCATGTTTAAAGGCCCCCTGAAAACAAAATGTAAGTTTTTTAGCTTTTAGTATGAATATGTTAGCCTTAAGGTTATGAATAAGCTGGTGTGTTCCAAAACAATGACAAAAAATCTCATTTAGGAGATATAAGCGTTCAAAACTTAAGTCTCTCACTTCCGCTAAAATGGATCACGGATTTGTATGACATCACCGCGGACTTCAGCTTCTCATTACATCGTCTGTCCAATCAAATGCTCTCTAGAATCTAAAGCGCCTCACCCCCTATGCTATAAATACCACCTGGCCAAAGCGACAGTTGACACCTTTTTTACAGTCTATGGTTGGCACATCATCACGGAGCAATATGGGTTGGAGATGTGTGTTCGGTTGCTCAAATGCTCGAGTTTTATTCCGTTTTCCAATTGTTGGTTAAGAATGAAATGGCTAAAATGTATTCACACCTCTATTGAATCCAACTTATCATCAGCGCTCGGATTCGCTGCATGCATGGTGCTGTCAAGTACGAATTGCAGTCTGTGAGGTAATCTAAACGCTATTGACTATTTGAAAAGGGGGAGGAGCCATTCAATATATCCCGCCTAAGCTTCCTGTGTCAGTGGAAATTACATCAACGCATCATACAAAGCTGCGGTTTCAACTTTCAAGGCACTTCAGTGGGGCTTTAAAGGCACAATATGTAAGAATTTTTCGCCACAAGAGGGCGCAGTTTCCAACAATAACAAAGGCGTAGGTTGATGACGCAGTGATGAGCTGAATGATGGGACTTGCTGTCAAGCTGATGGATCTAATAATGTTTATGGATGAGGGCAAACATTCATGCTTTTTAACATTACAGTGGTATGAAGCAGGTCGCGATTGCTAAAGAGACATATTACACGCGAGTCCCGCGGATATAAAGGAATAAGGACATTTGATTCTACCGAACTACCCGCAAGTGCTGGATTACTCACACAGCTCAGTTTATTAAACTTGTGAGGTAACGCAGCGCTGCTTCACTTGGTCTAACGTTACACTATCGCACTAAACGGCATTTAAATGTGTGTTGAAAGTTATAATGTTATACTACGTGTTAGTTTGTTTGCTATACGAAACTAGCAGTAAGCTAGATCAACATTAGAATAACATACTGACCATATTCTAACATTTCATCATGTTGAGCTAACGTTATATAACATTGATTTGTTTTATGTACATTTGCTCACCTGTCTAATAAAGCTGTCAAGTTGTGACTCGTGAAGCTCTGTCGAGTCCAAGTTAGTCGCGGACGTGGAGCTCTCGGCATCTCAAAAACGCCACGCTGATATTGATCCTCATTTTAGTTCTCCTTGTACCAAAGTCTGCTTGCCATGGTCTAGGTTTTAAAGAAACAAGAACTGCGTGCCGCTAAACGTTACGCACTACGCAGTTGTCCACGTCTGTCTCCATGGTTACGTCATGGCTATGGCAGTATGAACAGAAACCGAGGATAGCGCGGATATTGCGTCATTGACAGGCGACATTTTTTTCCGGGACGGCCACTTATTTAAAATTGGAATTTCTCTGAAATAAAAAATCTTTGGAGACTTTTAGTTTTGGGATATTGTAATTACACAACTACAGGAAATATATCACACTGTGCACGTGATTTTTGGATATTTTATTACAACATTCTTACATATTGTACCTTTAAGTTCAAATAGGCCTACACTGAAAGAATTGTTTTTAATTAAAATTATGCCAACTTGACATTTAAGGTCAGTCAAGACATTTACTAAAGTAATTTAATAAAAAATAAAATTCTCAATTAATTTTTATCCTGCAAGGCCTGAACTAGCGATATTATGAAGTTATGGTACAAAGGTGGTATTATTGTGTTTATATTTAAATATAATAAATGGCTGTTCCAAAATCTAGTGAGCTACCTAAATAGGCATATCTTCTATGGTGAAATAGCCCATTTGTGATTGTATTTAACTTTTTTTCCATTTATTTTTATAATTAACAGTTTGGACAATGGCGTTCAGCTGGTTCCTTCAACCTGCCCAGCTGACAAGTGCCCAAAACTGCTCTAAAACCAGCAAACCAGACTAGCAGTTGCCTATACTAGAATCCTCTTCTGAGTCACTCATCTGAGAATCTATCCAACATTAAATGCTGAGCTCAGCTCATAGCAATCAATCCTGGAAAAAGAGCTTGTCGCTGGGTTATAAACAAGCAACAGTTTAGAGGCTGATGTCTATTTGTTTGGTAATGAAAAATTATTTTCTCTCTCTAAACACATGGGGGGGGGAAATCATTTTATTATCTTTGTACATAGATAACACATTATTATGAAGGTAAATCATCTCTGTTTATCAAACGCTCTTTGGTGCAGCGATGACAATAAATCATATACACAGTAGATGTGGGGAGAAGAGTCACTGAATAGCTCACAAACTGTTAGCCAGGTGCAGACACAGACGGATGATGATGATCAGGAATAAAGTTCAAATGCAGCGTTTAATAACAATCCAACAGGTAATACATACGCTAACACTAACGAGACCAGACCAATCGGGTGAGGAGTTTAAATTCACATAGTGATAACAACCTAAACGAACAGCTGTGCCTGTGATGATGCTTAGGCCCTGTCCCAAATGGCACACTTCATGTGCACTTTCGGTCTTGTGGACTTACAATGGCTGCCGCGTGCGCGTGTCCGTTAAGTCCGTGAGACCGTAGTGGGTCCCATTTGTCATTTTTAGATCTCAGAAGGGTGCTCGCGAGCGCCCCCTCTGCGGTCGATTTGCGCCCTTGATGCGCACTTTTGCCGAGCCCGCGCTGATGCGGACTCCACAGCAGACTTCTTCCCGACATTCAAAGCGGCGTTACGTCGCGAAAGTGCGGACTCAGAGGAAGACCGCGAGTGCTTAGGGTTCCATTTGGCACAGGGCATAAGAGTGGCGGAAACTCAAACAAAGGAACACATGTGACTAATGAAAACAAACTAAAAGTCCATGAAAACTAAACTAAGAACAACACACAACTGAATAAGTGTGACACAAAGGCATTTCAGTTCAGTTAAAATTAAAATGTAAAGGAATATAGACACTTAAAAAGATGTGCATGTTGCATTTTACTTAAATTGAGCAAGCTTGAGTTGGCCCAGCTTGTTTCCGCCACAGAATAAAAAAGAAAAAAGGACGGCAACTTTTTATCTCAATGGCGGGTTTATATCTGCAATTCTTAAAAAAATGGAGGATTCCGAGATATAAACTCACAATCGCAGGAGAAAAATTCAGAATTGTGAGAAATTATGTTTTATTTCGGAATTCTGACTTTTTATTGACTGTTTGTATCTCAATTAAGAATTGCAAGATATAAACTCATAATTGCGAATTATAAAGTCAGAATTTTCGATTTTCAAGTTTTTTTCTTGCAATTGCGACTTTATATCACACAATTCTGACAATATAACTCACAATTGTAAATTTGTATAATCGCAAAAGTCAGAATTGTGAGATGTAAACTCACAATTGTGTGGGAAAAAAGTCAGAGTTGTGAGATAAAAAGCTATTTTTTTTATTGCGTGGCAGAACAAGCTTCCATAGCCCAGATAGTTTATCATTTGAGATACTTGTCAACATGACTGGTTTACAACAGTCTTACTGATGTAATCTGACATTTCTAAGTGAAACACAGGATATTCATTTACATTTATTCATTTAGCTGACGCTTCCATATTCAATGAAAATGGAACGGGACTTGGATGAGAATGGGCTATGTGCACGCATAACTTCCGCGTTTGACGCAAGGATGCTCGTGCGTTTCCGGTTGGGGAGATTTAAAGCGGAGGAAAACCGAGGAAAACGGTATTATGGCAGAGTCTTCAAAATTGACTGTCCTCTCGTCTTTAAAACGAAACTTTAATACGTTTAGATGTAATTTTATATATAGTTATGTTTATTTAATATAATAAACACAGAAGCATAAACAAAATGAGGAGTGTCTGTTTTGTCTGTTTTTGTGACTAACGTTTCTTTAGTATAGCAATAGTGTATAAAAACCAATATAAATTCTCGGTATAGCATTGGACTCTACGATCGGCGGAAGTAATCCAGCATCCTTAGACCTTCACCGGAAATACCGCCGTGCATAGAGCCCATTGATTGGATCAGAGAATAGTGGGTTTTACGGGCCTGAAAGGTGGGGAGGGGAAGAAGCAAAGTGGAATCGTTGATGTGGAATGGGTGAAAAGTAAAGTATTAATTATAATATGACAAAATAAATGGGAATAACATGCATGTGTATTAAATAGGGTAATTTCATGTTGACATTTTCAATGTTGATAAATGTCAAACATGTAAAAGGGACCTTTTAGAAATGGAAGAAGGAAAAGCATGCGGATTAAAAAAAAAAAAAGCATTTTAATTGTCTACAGATTCAGTGGCAAACATGCCAGATCTTGGGGTAGCAAACAGACCAGACATCTATGGTGGAATAAAAAAGAGAAA